TCACAGCTTGGAACTGAGCCAGATGGATATTGCTTCCAACACCTACATGGAAATGGGGACCTACTTGAGGACAGCAAGCTAAAATATATGAAGAACGGGTGCAGGAATTGGGTATGTCTACTCTAATGAAAGGAAAGAGTAGGGGTGACACGATAGCAGTTTTCCAATATTTGAGGGGCTGCCAGAAAGAAGAAGTAGTCACCCCCAGAGGTGGTAATACAGCAGGTTCTGAACCGTTCTGGAGAACTGATAGCAGAAATTTTGATTAGTTCGGAGAACTGGCCAAATCCCACCTCTGACTGGCCCCGCCAACCCCATCTATTCTCCGTCTCCCATTGAGCCCCAGCGGATCGGCTGGGTGTTCTTTGGTTGCCCTGCACAGGAGAACAGAGCTGAAAAGCAGGTTAGTGGGGTGGGAAGGGAATGGGGATTTTGCAGTATCCTTCCCCTGCCAAGCCCACCAAGCCACACTCACAGAAGCAGTAGTAAAAAAATTGGAACCCCATCTCTGAGTCATGCTATTCTCCAAAGCACCTGAAGGCAGGACCAGAAGTAATGGATGAAAACTCGTCAAGAAAAAAAGCAACTTAGAACAGGGGTGAGATTCAAATTTTTTAACAACTGGTTCTGTGGGTGTGGCTTAGTTGGTGGGTGTGGTTTGGTGGTCATGTGATTGGGTGGACATGGCTTGGTGGTCATGTGACTGGCTGGGCATGGCCAACTCAATATCATTCACATCGAGGCACGCATCTCCTCGCCTGGCCCCTCATGACAATGGGGATGCTGCAACAGTCGTAAGTGTGAAAAATGGTCATAAGTCACTTTTTCAGTGCCATTGTGACTTTGAATGGTCACTCCAAAGTACCATCAAAGGAGGGGGAAAAGCTCCAAAGAAGTTCCTGAGATAGGAAGTCTAGTCCTGCCAAGAATGGAATAAGGGTTAACAGAGAGGCAGTTTTTGTAAGCAACACCAGAATGTTTCCTTCCTGCCTTCCTTACAGGATTAGGCCAGTAATTTCTTCTAACAACCGGTTCTCCGAACTGCTTAGAATGTTAACAACCAGTTCTAGAGAATAGGTGCGAACCGGTAGAATCCCACCCCTGACTTAGAATTAAGGAGAAATTTCATGACAATGGCTGTAATAAAACCAGTGAAACAGGTTGCCTACAGATGTTATCGATACTCCAACAGTGGAGGTTTTTACGAAGAGATCAGACAACCATTTGACCGGGATGGCATAAGATAGTACTAAGGCAGGGGGGTGGACTAAAAGACCTCTTAGGTCCCTTTCTGTTATTCTATTAGTCCCCAGGATTCCAAACAAAAGCAGCCATCCCTGTCACTTGAATTATTTCTGAGGTTAGTGGATCTATGAAGCTGACTTTTGTACAATTTGTTATCCCTTACAGAAAATATAATATAAAGTGTATCGATCTGGTTATTGCTACATATGCCTGCCTCGTTTTTATCTCATCTGCTCGCCTTGGTGAGCCATTTCTCCCATGCATGCATTCTCTGCACATTCCTAAAGTTGTGAGACCCGTAGTCTCTCAAAATAACCCCAACTTAACTTCACTGTTTTATTAGGCACAGTTTAAAGTCACCAAAGTAAATAAGGAGGCAAACAGAAAACCAAAACAAACCGCATTGATGAGATTTCCGAAGCAAGCCAAGATAAACTAATCATTAACTCCAGGAAAAAATAACCGAGAAAAGTCCGTGGGAAGAACGCCAGCAAAGATAAACCTCTTTCAAGGTGAACACTAAATTGACTCCTGCAAATTCTAACTGCGCAGTTGCAAACTCATATCCATAGCTCCCACCTGCAAGCCGCGAGGAGGATCATGGGAATCTCCTCTTGAGTAGACCTCGCTTTCCCCTGATCCTCTCCTCCCTGCGTGACCTAGGATGGAGAGGGGATGGGCCTGGGTCCTGCTCTGACTGCTCAGCCGGCCTCTGCCCTTCCCCAGCCTCCACTACCACCTCCGGAGCCACACTCCCATTCCCTGTTGGCGGTTCCTCCTCTTCCTCAGAGTCAGACTCCATGACAAAAGTTGTGAAGAACAGTGCAAAATTCGGGAGGGCGGGGGGGGGGGAAGCTACCACTGCCCGCAGCTGCATTTTGATTCATGTCAAGCAAGGATGGGAAATTTCTGGATAGCGGATTGCTGGCAGACTGCGGAGACCACAAGACAGCAGGGTCGAAAATTGGCAGCAAAGCAGCACATAACACTGGTGTGAATTCCCATCAATTTTTCAGCAGCAAAAAAGGTTCTTCGCTGCATAGAGGGAAAAAAATCCAGAAACTCTAGCTGTAGTCATTACCTCACTGCCTTCTGTTGTTTGCTGAGGGAGGGACAGAGAGAAGGAGGAAAGAAGGAAGAAAGGAAGGAAATGGCGAAGGAAGGAAGGAAATAGAGAAGGGGAAAGAAGAAAGAAGGAAATAGAAAGGAGGGAGAGGAAGAAAGGAAGGAAATTGAGGGAGGGAGGGAGGAAAGAATGAAGGAAATAGAGAAGAGGAAAGAGGAAGGAAGGAAATAGAAGGGAG